AAAAAAAAAAAAAAAAAAAAAAAAAAAGGTGGGAGCGGGGAAGGGAAGGTAGAAAATAGTGGGAGAAATAAGATATTTAGAACATGTATAATTTGGAAATGTACATGCATGATGATGGGGCACGTTTTAGTTCAAACTATAATACACAGCTGGAAAAGAAACAGAATATACAAATGCATCAGGACAATGAACATACTGTACTGGAATTTCTCACCTCTAAGAATAGAGAATAGAGAATAATCTCTATTTTGGAAAGCCATATTTTTTCAGACTATTTTTCTAAAAATTGTTTAGGGCTTGGAAGTCAAAATAATCTGCATTTAAAGTAGAATTGCCCCAAGTTTGAATTATTAACCTCAAATCACTGGGTTCTATTATTTTGTGAAGTTGAACTCTCCAACCATGCAAACATTTGATGAAATGCCATTACAACACAATTTCTCCAAGATTTTGGAAAACAACAACATGTTCACTTTCTGGAGAAGTTTGAGGAATAAAAAACTCTACCAAAAGAAATACAAAAGGAGAAAATTCCAAATGCTTTTTGAAAATGTTATTTTAACATGAAGGTCATTAAGTTTTGGACTAATGCCTTCTTGCTTTTACTTTTTCAAAGTACTTCTAAGAAAAAGCCCTACTGCAGCTTTTTCTTCTGGGGCCTCTTTATATTATAATAGCAAGTCAAATGTTCAGGTTTTTCCTGCCTCCCATTGTTAAGAAAAACAACTAGACAATGTGGACACCCTCTTAATATTAGAAATTACCTTATTTTTTAAATTAAACTCCCCCTAACCTCTTTGGAGATACTATTACTATTATTATTACTAGCATAGAATGTCACTCCACAAGGAGGAGGCATATTATATACATGGACAAATCACTACACAGTTCTTCATGAAAAATATGCCTACTGTTCTCTAGACATACAAGAATCTCTGAGGATTTAGAGCATACACATAAAGGTGTTCCAGTCTGCTCCCTGCAATGAAAGTCTGGGGTTCTTAATTACATCTAATTGCTGCACTGCTTTTTACCAAAGCGGACTGGATACCTGCCAAGAATGGCAGTGATGGAGCATCCATGAGTAGCAAAGGAAGCACCATGCGCATCAGCCAGGTGTTGCTTTGCTTTTAACCACAAGCTCAGGGAGCTACCTGCAGTTAATTCTCCACACTGGCAGGTGTCCAACTAGTGACAGTGGCTTACCTTTCAGGGCATGAAATAAAAGCATGGACATCACTGTTCTTGGGCAAGGAAAACCAAGCTGCAGCTTGGCCAGCCAGAAAACAACCTTCTTCTGTCTATTGCAGTAGGTTTTGACCCAACCTTTCCCTCTACCATCTTACTGGAATTTACCTTGGATTGAGATGAGCACCTGGAGAAGGCTAGATTTACTGGTCCATCTCTCTGTGCCCTGGAATAGACAAATAACAGCAAGCAGTTAATTCAACAGCAAGGACTACATAGCATTACAACACAGCAGTAACTGAGTCACAACAATTTTTAAGAACAAGGCATTTGAACTGATCCATGCTCTGCTGACTTCCATTCCTACTACAAAATTACTGTTCATATGAATGATGTGAATGAATGCTCTTGTGTCTGGAGATTCTGGGTAAAACAAATAACCGTGAAGTACTACTGGGGCAAGGGCGGCCAATCTATCTTTCTTCACATCTCTAATCCAAAAATTAATTACTGTAAGATAGAGTTCCATTATATACATGATGCCCATTGAAAGACAAAAGAAGGTTAATCTAACTGGAGAAATAATAATAATAATGAAGGTGCTGTAAGGAACACACACATTAAGTTTATATTAGTACAATTTTCTATTATCGGAAGAGTTCAGTGGTAAGCATTCATACAACTCTTATGAGCGGGTGGGTGGAGGAAAGGGCATTTATGGAGAAAGAACTCTGAAATGAGTTGTGAAGAAATTCTTTCTGACAACAGATGTTGGTTTCATTTGCTACATTCTGTTTATCTTTTGTATGAGCCAACGTAGTGACCATTATGAGAAGCAGATTGCTAGATAAAAATAACCTACTGCAGGCCCTGTACATTTAACTGTAGATAGCTACGGACACCATATAGTTGGACAACATTGTGGATTAGAACAGTACCTTTGAACAGCAGACACAGTAAACCAGACTTGCTGTTTGAGCTAAACCACTGAAGAAAGCACTGCAATCGCATGAAATTTATAATGGGATATTGAATGACCCAGGTCAAGAGTAATATAGAAAAAATCAGCAGCAGTTTTACCTTGCCTATCCATGTGCCCAGAAGGCTTACGCAAACCTTTCCATTGTCATACAAATTGGGATTCAGTCTGCCACTGCACTGGGAGAGGTAACGGAAGAGTGGGGGCACAGCTGGATAGATATTGGGGAGCTGGATGTCAAATAAAAAGAGGCCATCTTCATACGGTGTGCGCGTAGGTCCTTTGACTAGTGCTGAGAAGAGATCCTGTGAAGAGGCTATGTGTAAGCCCATGCAATAATCCACAAAGATGAACCAGAGCTAACTAAGAAATGCTATATCCAACCCTATTAGGAAAATGCACATAAGCATCCTGTTTGGCTTCCACCAGGCATCAATATGCTTCGTATACATCCCAATAATTCATGCCAGGCTGAACTTTGACTGAAAGTCCAAGAAAAGCCTTCAAAGAAAACTTCTGTTCTACTAAGCTGGGCCTGTTCCGCAGTTGCTGAGTAACACAGAAATATTAGCCCATACCGAATAAAAATACTACTACTAGGATAACTGAGAATACATACTATCTTGCTGAGACTAAGCAGGTAAGAGACCTGCACAAAATCTATATGAGATAGAGATATCTTATATCTACATCTCCTTTAGTTCCATCATGGAAAGAAGGAAGGATATACAAAATGTAACAAATCACACTGGACAAGCTGCTAATATTTGGCACCTTTCCAGAAAAAAATACAGAAATGAATACCTTGGGACAGCCATATTAATTAATTCAACAAATGACATAGTTCCACTACATTCAATAGCTATCGGCCAAGCTATATTAACAACATTGTATTGGCAAAGTTACTGAATTTAACTCCTTCCCCTCATATACACAAATTCAGGTGCTTGTTTACTGTCTTTACAGAACAAATGTAGCTGTTAGTTTTAATTGCCTGCTAGTAAATAAAATGAATTATTTTTTTCTTATTGGTGTAACAAAAAACACAGATTTTTTTCCATTAAGAAATACCTTAGATGCACAGAGCCATCATTATTTTTAGGATCCTACCCAGAAACAATTTTAAAAACATAGGATACACCTTTCTTGATGGATAGTGAAGTTCACATAGGTTTATATGACTTACCATTCTGTCTTCAAATGTTTTGACCATGATTCCATCTGGCAATGAAGTTGCTAACAGAGCCATTTCTTTCCTCACTGTGCTGAAAAACTTCTTGGCTTCTGGAGGCTGAAATTCCATTTTCTTAAAGGCATGGCTATCTAATGGGGCAAAAAAAAAATTGAGGTAAGAGATTACAGAACTTTTCTCACTTTCCTTTGCTCCTAACATTTGCCAGAAACTTAATTTATATAATAGGGTTATTAAAATAGACAAAAATGACTCTGATATACTACCCCTGTAATTGGAAACCAACACTAAGGTTATTTACAAATAAGGTATCTTCAGACTGGTATATATTTACATACCCTTGGATTGTCAAATGATACACTGTCTAGCCTGATCGGGGATCAGTACTTTATCAAAGATCGTTGAACTGAATGCAAGTCACTAAGGCTCCATATAAGACAAGATGAAAGTTACGAGAAGAGAGATACACAGAGAAAAATTCCAGAGAGAGGTCAAGAGTAAGGGTCCAGACACAAACCTAATCTTATATTTTACACACTGGATCATATATTTAGAGAGAAAGGGGGCCACTATAACTTACTTTCAAACACTGGTTCCAATAAAACAGAATGACAAATTTAGGGCATTCCAGAAATTGCTGGACTTTAATTTCCCTGACATGGGCCATGCTGTGTGGAGCTAATGGACTGCAGCATTGCTAGAATGCCCTGAGGTCTATCCCTAGCCCCACTTCTATAACTGACCTGGAGCACACTCTAACACAGAAAAGACTTCCCCCTTGGCACTGGTGAAGGTAACACCAGGCTTGCCTCCGCTCTGCTGGCAAAGCACTGGGGTTTCACTGGGCCATTCTGATGCCACTGGTGTCTGTGTCTGGGCTTCTCTTTCTTCTTTCTTCTCTGCCTCTGCCATTGCCTCCATCTTTTCTTCTTCCACAATAGCTACATTGTCCAGGGTCTTCTTCAGATTCTCCTGCAGTTTCTTTATATCATCTAGAAACTTCTTCTCCCGAGTAGGCTTTTCTGGTTCGACTGTGGGAGAGGTTGGGTAGCCTGTCAGCAGTTGTTCAACTGTCATATTCTTCAGGCTCTCCAAGATCTTGATGGCTTCCTTCAACTCTCGGAAACTCTTTGGGGTTCCTTCCTTGCCTGACTTATCTGCTGCTAGATCAGCCACAGCCATTGCCACAGCACCTTGTACTTGTTCCTCTACCCTTTTCACCTCTTCCACAGGTAGTTCCTCAGGTTCAACTTCCTCAATTTTTGTGTGGTCATCTTCCATGAGGCCATTATCTGTCTCCCAGCTATCACTCTCGTCTTCCCATTCATCTGAAGAAGCACCACTAGTGCTACCATCTATGGAATCAAGGTCTGTCTCTTCATCCATTTCAGATTCTATATTGTACAAGTGCTAGAAGGCAGAATGAAAAAGAGGAAGAGCCTCAACACATGGGAAAACACTGCAATGCCATTTTAATTTTATTCCATGATAATATATTCTGGCTTTCTTTTATTAAAAAGGGATCAGCCACATTAACATTTCTCCATTCACGGAATACTTCAAAGACTGAACTCCCACTGGGAGGCAGACCCTACACAAGTCATAAATATGGAATGCTGAACCAGTACATTATCTCTGGAATCAAGGGCATCCTGCGTTAGTTGGAGCTGTTTGAAAAGAGGCTAACTAGTGCTAAGAGCTTGCCACAGATCAGAGAGCAATATGCATTATCTTTCTATACTGAAGCCCCTAAGATAGTGCATTGCTATAACAAGTTATCTTACTTACCTTTATGTTATTTAACTTCACCCTTACTATTTCTGCTAAGCTGTACATTTTATAAGACAATAAGACATGAAAATCCTTGAATTATTCCAAAATGCCTGTTATCTTTTTCTCAGACATTGCTCTGTCAGTAATGGTTGATCTGGATAATCTTTAGTTGCCTTACTTCACTGGTACAGCTCAAAAGGAGCTAGTATCCTTGGTCTTTTAAGGAATGAGTGATCTTTCTGACATTTTTCTGCATTTTCTGTGTACTGTCCTTCAGGCTATCATGCCCCCATTCTCCCACCCTCAAGGCTCAATGGATTTTGATAAAATGCAAGTCTATATATTTTTATAAAATGTTCACATATCCTTCAGCACATAAGTTTATACAGAATCATCATGAAATTTATTCTATAATTAAAAAAAAAGATTTAGACCATGGAAACAGGGGAAACATTTTTATTTAAAACAATACACACTGTAATGCAGAACTGTAGAGAGACAGCTTGCCTTCACAGAAGGATTCTCCCTGTGATATGATCATATGTGACAAGAGCAGGATGGGATACACTAGAGGACTTTGTATCACACAGCCACAGTTCCAGCACTGGACTATTTTACTACCATTAAGGGGGAACTGTTTTATTTAAGAAAACAAAAGCCTTGAATGCCAAGTATTTATTTACATGAATAGGCTTCTGAAACAAGAGCGGGCCCTTTATTTGTGCTTCAGTAGCTCCTGTGCTATACAGAAACAAAGAGACAGGGCCAACTAAAATATTTGAAATATGATAATGGCTGCTAATTTTGTTTTTGGGACAAATATAGGAGTTTCTTAACAGACAGAAATATTTATTAGGGTAACAGGCCTTAAAGAGAGCATTAATCATCTTTCAGAATAGCAGACCATATTTACATTCCAAGAATAAAGCAACTATATAACAACACACTGATGGTCTCCTGGGAAGGTAAGACTTGAATACTAAAAAAAATCACGGCAGCAAACTCTGTTTTTACTATACAGTGTTACTGAGATGCCAGCAAGACTAGTTTACTGAACTAACAGAGCAATCTTCCTGTACATTCTAGAAAGCTCCAATATACGCAAGCCACTTAGTAAAAAGGAAATAACTAGCATCCTAAACCAACTGGAGGTAGCTTAGTATTTACCTGTGGTAGAACAATTGTCCTGGAGTTATCTGCCCATACAACTTCTACTTTACTGCTGAAATCCACTCGGGCCACCTGCCCTACAGAGGGCTGAAGAAACAAAAGCAACCATTATTTATTTTTATGGTCTAGAGCCTACTTTTTATGACCATCCAAGCAAGATAATCAAGGTAGCTGAGCACACAATAAAAATATAATGTTTAAAGCTATGTCATAAATTTAACAAAAGCACAAATACAAATGTTAAAATAATTCTTACATCAGTTCAAATGGCCAGATTAAACAGGCCTATTTTAAGAATAAAAAAGCTTTGCTAAATCAGGTCCAAAGCCTGTCTACTCCAATGTTATGTCTCCCAGGGCTGCCGTATCTTTACAGAAGTCCACCAGAATTTGAGCACAAGAGCACAGAACAATTGAGAGGCAAATTATATTTACCAAGGCAAATTCTGACAGGATGTTACCTGTACCCCTTCCCAGCTTTACCACAGGGTAAACTGGTAGACAGAGCAAAGAGAAAGAAACAGACAGGGTCAGCACTGTTAATCTGAATCAAGCACTGCATGACATATGCTTTCCCAGCACTGATCTGGCATTAAGGAAGCAGGATCTTTGGGATGGAGGTTTACCTTTGTAGTGTGATTATGCCACACCAAAAAAGTGATTATTGACAAGGGTAATTAGTCTTCCCTATACTTCTGAATTCTCCCATACCCCCATATCTTCTCTCCTTTGTAGTTGCTTTCAAATCATTTCCAGTCTTTACATTCAATTTTATCTCTCAACACCAGTCCCCAATTAAAAATAGCAATAAAGTTACTGCCATGAGGCTCACCCCCTCTCTAAATATTTGTACATGATTGGGTGGGGTGGGGAAACCAGTATAAAGCATCTCAAGCCTCTAGGCTGAATCCTCCTAAGGAGATCGTCCCCTTTTTATAGCTCTTTTTTATAGCTCAGCTGTGCAATGTACCAATGAAGGCCAGCCAGATGGAAAAAAAACCAAGCCATTCTCACAGAGGCATTTAAGAAAAAGTCTCTCTGATGGGAAACTGAGGATGTGAGCAGCACAGCTACTCAAGAGGAAGATGGTGCCCTAGACAGAAAATCTAGACAGGCAGATAAGAACCCAGACCAGGCAGGAACCTTGTGCCCAAGTTCTGGAATAATAATTATCACCTTCTCCGGGTAAATGATAAACAGGACCAAGAAAGTAGTATAACCAGAGGAATTAGGATTGCAACAGCAACCAGAACCATTACTATTAAGGGAGATATATAGAAAACATATACAGCATGTTTTCTAAATTAATCTCAAAGGCAATACAGCATGCTTTTAAAAATCCTTTCCACTGACACAATCATGCCTCCCTTTGGAAGAAAGTTAATTTCAACTATTGTATTTGAAAAGCATGCCACCTAGTGGGGGTTTAGGAATTGAGATTTGAGCCTTAGAGTACTTAAGACTGTTTCCAGCTTTGCAGAGAAAGCCTACATAGAATCTGCCCAATTCGCATTTGATTGACTTACTGTTGTGTTCAGCAGGAATGTGAACAAACTGTTCCATGCATGAAACAGTAAGTTTCAGATGATCCATGCCTGGACCAAACATGCATTCTGGCCAGAAATAGTTTGGGGAAGAGGAGAGTGGGAGAAAGTCAAAGACATCTGGCATGTGTAGACTGGCTAACAAGAAAGGAAATGGCTGGGAATATTGGAGAGACAAAGATCTGGTTGGAAATACCATGCCTGAAGCCAACAACACTGGCAGCTAAGAGGCAGCAGGGGAAGAAAGGCGTGGGAAGACTGATGGCACAGAATGGCCATGTAGAAGAGGAGAGAACGAATTATGTGTACCAACCTTTCCCTACTGGCCCTGCAGGACCCCTCTGAATGCTGTGTCAGCCAAAATCTGGAAAGCTGCTGAACTACAGGCCACCTGGACCAGTTCAGCAAAACTTCCAAAACTCAACATAATTGTTTCAAATTCAAAATTAAACACATTTACTATTTTGTGTATAATCCTAGTAGGGCTACAAATTCAACCAGAAATCAGACTTTAAAAAGTAATTATTCCAAAGAAAATTATACCTGAAGCCATTCATTAGTTTTAATCTGAATCTTCAATATAATTTCATTACTGAAGAAAGTAATTACAAAAAAAAAAAAAAAGCTGGTGGGTTGGGCTTATTGCTCAAACTATGCATGTTTTAACATTTTGCAGCTATTTGACTGATTCTAAAGCCCTTGGTTCTAATCAGCAGTGGGTTCTGCTACAAAAGTAGGAACTCTCTTTTAGGGGTGTATGTGAAGAGATTCCCTTGAATGGCACATGGCATCTATTTCCATTAAAAGAACCATTCAATGCAAGCCCAAATGCCTTTCAGTTCAAACCAGAAGACTGGACACAGAGATAGCTGGCCCAGCATCTCACTTTTTTCAGGTCATGATTCTTACCAGTTGCACCAAGGACATACCTTATCACTCACCTCATTTTCACCAATTGAAGCACCATCCTCAGCATTGCCAATGCGGATTACAAAATCAGTTGTGCGGAAGCGGAAGTCTGGGTGATCAGCAATGTCATACACGCTGACATCCTCCTCCTCCCCAACCAGCTGGAAAAGTTCAAAAGTCTCAAAGTTCAAAATCTCATGACTCAACCTTGTGTTCCTTTTTCATGTGCTGTTGCTACATAGTGACTTCCATAATACTTAAAGAGTCCTTTGAAGAATAGGTAACTGCTCCTAAATCTACCACCTCAGAATGTGTCTGGCATTGAAAAGAGCTCATTTGAGAGTATCCCTGTTGCCAAAAGGTATCCCAGAAAAAGGACATAAAGTTTATATATAATTTATACTGAGCTATCAGAAAATGAAGAGGAAGCTTTTCACCTCACAGGACTCAACAGGTAAACACAGACATGTGTGACATAGTTACCTAGCCTTGTGCCTAGCATATTACTGTTCAGTAGAGATTCTGAAGATGTCCTGCTATGGTAAGGCTCTCTGTAGGGAATCTGTACTGTGTAAGAACCTACAAAAGTGTTCTATGATCTAAGCACCTGCATACATTAATTCAGAGCTGTATTCTCTTCCAGACTGAACTTCATGAAAATTTGAGGATTATTTAAATACAAAGTTTGATGATGATGATGATGATGATGATGATGATGATGATGATGATGATGATGATGATTGTGCCTTTGAGTCAGTCTTGACTCCTAGTGACTGCCTGGACTAGTCCCTGCAGTTTTTTGGGCAAGATTCTTCAGAAGTGGTTTGCCATTGCCTCCTTTCTAGGGCTAAGAGAGAATGACTGGCCCAAACTCATCCAGCTGGTTTTGTGTCTAAGGCAGGACTACAACTCTTCTAGCCTGGTGCCTTAACCACTATACCAAACTGCTCTGAAATACAAAGTTTAATACTTCCTAAATCTACCCAAGTTCACAAAAATCTATCTTATACCAGCATATCCTCAGAGTCCATTTAAATCCAGCAGAATTCAAGGCCAGCTACCACCACCACCCTCATGCTATTATTTAACCCAAAAGTATGTACATAAGAGGAATTGAAAATAAAAATACTGTTCCCCCAATGCTTTGGCATCTGGATAGAGTTTTTGTTTAGCTGTTGTAGCTAAATCTTAACTTAGCAGTGAAAGAACCAAACTTCATTATTACGTTCTCTTAGGAAAGGGACTGAATATCGAAAGAGCTAGTAGAGTATTAGGCACATTTATGAACACATTGTTTTTTTTTTTCCAGAAGCTCAGAGTGGCTTAGAAGAAATAAATTTAACACCCTTTTAGCAAAGCAAAACTTTATCCCAGAGGCCAAGAGAACAAAACAAAAAATCACAGAGACTTTGCTCCTTACCTCCACATCATCTCCACTAGGTCTCAGCTTGAACCATTTCACCACACAGGTGCGACCAACATGGTCACCTGACTGCACCACTCCATACATACCAGGATCCTGAGAACTCTGAGCTATTTAGGATTGAAGAAAGAAGCATATTCTAGTAAGAGAAAACAATACACTATAATTTTGCTTTGAGAAGTATCCAGTGTTTGTTTTTTCCTGAAATCACCTTATGCCTTGTTCAAATTTCCCTCCTATTCCCGGTAATTTATCTGAGAGAGATCAAAGCTAGATAACTATGCCACCTTGCAGAGAGGCACCAAACGTCAGCAGAGGCTTGCTACCTCTTAAGCCCTAATGAAAGGCTATGGGAAATGCTTCTGATCAGCTATTTATTAAAGACTGTGAGACTGAAGTAATGTCTTGTAATGTACAAGGTAATTGCTGCAGCCTTTCAATAGATTTGCACTTTATTGCTGTACAATTAATCCTTCTTTGGTGACAAACTAAAAGAATAGAAAAAAACCTTTGTTGGCTTTGACAGCTAACACAATTTATTCTTGTCATAATGTTGCCTGCCCTTGATGGCTCCATTATACTGAATCTGAGACCCAGGGCCACTGTGGGGAGAGCCCCTGCCTAACCCCCAGAGCTACAGAGAGGGATGGGTTCTCATTTCCACTGTGCACATGAGCAGAAAACAGCATGGGATTTCGCAGTTCTCCAAGTTCCTCCAAGGTATTGTTTGCAGCCATCTGCTAACAATGCTTTTAAAATAATGGAGGCACCAAAGACAATCCTTTTGCATTTCTCCAGGCCTGGAAAAAATGTGAACTCACCTCAGACACAATTATTTGAATCAATGTACTTGTTTTTAACATGTTGTTATTCATTTTTTTTTGTTTTTTATGTGGGCTGCTGCTTTTATTAACCTATTATTTTAACACTATATACAGTGGTACCTCGGGTCACGAATGCTTCTGTTCACAAACAATTCAGGTCACGAACAGCACTGTTCACAAAATTTTGCTTCCGTCTGTGAACTCCGCATCGGGTGACGAACAGGATCCGCGGCCATTTTCCCTGCCGTGACACGTGGTCATGGCTTCCTGTAGGGAGGGGGGCTCTCCCTCCAAGCAATAACCGCCTCCCCACCTGCCTTCCTGTCCTCCACGCCAGGAGTCGCCTCGAGCAAGGTTAGCGTTGTCTCTCTTCATACTGCACTGTACTGTATTTTGTTTCATATTTTTGTGGTTTAAAAAAAACAAACATATGGTTCAGAACGGATTAACCGTAATTACATTGAACCTTATGGGAAAATTTGATTTGG